CGTCACATAGGGCATCTGGTAGAGCTTCACCTTGACAGGATCCCTGGTCTTAGTCTCGATCTTGTGATACACAAGGTCTGTGTTGTCTGGTCTATCTGTTTAATGACACCGTAGATCTTGAAGGCCTTTCTTCTGCTTACCAGTCAGTTCTTCACTGATGTTTACGTCTTTGTACATCTAATCTCCTTTCAGAGGTCTTAGGTCTAGTAGTCTTACATCACTATCTTCTGGTTCTCCATCCTTGACAGCCACACCTGTAATATCCATCTCTGTCTCAAAAGCTGCACCACTTAGGTCTTCTTCCCTATCAAAGTATTTTTTCAACAGATTGACATAGTAGATCTTGGTCTTTCTATCCACTTTCACCTTATATTTCATACTGATGACCTCTTCCTGTAATTCAAAAAGTCCTTTCCACTGCAGTGTTAGTTTGTTGTTGTCTATGAGTAACAGAAACAAGTCCTTCTGTCCGACCATGAAATGTCAATCCTTGACCTTCTTGTCCAAGAAGTGTTTGTGACTGCCTTGAGCTGCATACAAACTTTATTGAGCAAGTTTATAGGTCTCCTCCAGTCAGTTTCTGAGGTCTAACACATACTGGCATGTGTTCCTCATTTCTGACTCTTCTTCTCTTCTCCACAATTATTTCAATATCTGCATTTAGACCTTGTACTGTTTTTCCATACAGTAACTCAAAGGGGTTAAATCCTGTACTCACTTGAGGGACTTCTCAGTAAGCAAATAATACTGCCTGCAGGTGCCTGTCCCAGTCACGTGGTCTCTTCTGGAACATCTTCTTCAGCATGCTCTTTAAGACTCCATTGACTCTCTCACAAACTACATTACATCTGGGGATGTATAGGGTGGTAAAGAGCTGCCTAGTGCTGATGAGTCTGCACACCTCTTGCATCAATCCTGAGTTAAACTGAGTCCCTCTCTCACTCACTACTTCTTTTGAAAAGTCTACTCTACATACAACTTCCAGGAGGGTTTCTACTACTCACTCTGTCTCTATCTTTGGCAATGTCATAGCTTCTGGCTGATGTATTGCATAGTCGATTACTGTCAGCAAAGATTGGTTGTCCTTTCAGGTACAGATGCTAGTGGTCTGATCAAGTCCACAGCTGCTCTGCTGAATGGTTCTTCTATGAAAGGCATCTCACTAAGTGGCACCTTGGCTACCTTCCCTCTAGGTACTGTCGTTAGCACATGTAACATGATATGCAGAATCTGGTCACATCTCCAATGACCCCCAGCCAATGGACGTTGCTGGTGATTCTGTCTGCCATATTCTTTGCTCCTAGGTGTCCTCTCACAATCATCAGTCTTCTTTCTGTCTGATTCCTCCAAACTTCTACTGCCTGGTATATTGCGAATCACCAGGTTGTAGATTGGTGCCTTCATACATGGCCTCAAGGTCTCCCACATAGTATTAAATGTCCACCTGTATTCTTGCTATGGGAAACTTTCTCACTGTTCCATCAATAAGCACACACAGATGTACTTTGCCAATCATCTGGTCATCAGATAATAGACTGGTTATCACTGCTGCACCCAGTGTTTCATGTTCATGTCCCTGCCATAGCCTTCACCTACCAGCATGTTGTGATTTGTTGACTCCTCCCAATGTTTGTCACACACTCTAATCACCACTAGCACTGTTGACCCATTTGCTAACTTGAGCTGATCATCAATTACCACTAGCACTGTTGACCCATTTGTTAACTTGAGTTGACGTTTGATCATACACTGTTTTAATCATGGAGATAGCACTTCCTTCTTGAAGTGAATCTGACAAGTTGCCTCTATTCTGTTTCTTCTGCCAGCAGCATTCATGGTGACAGTCACCCTTTTCTTGTTTCTTTCCATCACTATCTTTGTGGGTAGCTCCAACTGCTTTATGTTGAGATGTTGACTGTTGCTTGTTGGTAACAGACTTGCACCCATTTGCAACTTTTATCCTTTTTCTCTATTAACTTCTTGTTATCTTTTGTAACATCCTGCTTCTGATCAGCCACCCCTTGTTTCGACTTTGACTGGTTATTCTTGGACTTGCCAGCCCTTCTAAACTATTTTCACTGTTGGCCATGCCAGTCCATTTTGTGATGTATAGCTTTAAATGTGCCACAAACCGGAATACAGTTTCTCTGGTGTCAGGTTTGACTTCTCTGACCTTCTGGCAAAAACCTTCTTCAGTAAGTTTATAGCATTTCAGTAACGTCACTTTTAATTTGTCATAGTCCACGGCATCTTCTGACATCATGCCAGGATACACTTATAGGTATTTTCCTGTGAGAATAGGGTTGAGATAGACTGCTTTATCCCAGTTCTGACTTTGGTCAAACCTTTCATACCTTTTCGGGAAAACATTAATGTCGTCTTTCTGTTCGACAAATTTGGGCAGCTTGAGTCAGCTGACCCTGACCCCATTGCCATTCTTTGGTCTTTCATCTCTCTGTTGGGTAAAATGGTGTTCTCAAATTGTGCTCTTATTCTCTTTCTCTTTCCAGTCTCTCCTCTCTACCCTTTTCTTCTTTCTCAATTTGTACTCCCACTCTCTCTCTCTCTCTTTCTTTTCTTTTCTTTCTGTCTTTTCTGCCTACACATTTCTCTCTCTCTAGAACTTGTTGTTTAATAAACTCTCATAGATCACCATCTTTGAACTGAAGTTGCTCACCTCTCTCAATCCACTTATCAAAGCCAGTCAACATGGTTATATAGTGTGGTTGTGACCTAAAAAATATTTTCGCCACCACTACAGATGTGCATATATAGGCCTAATTTACCCGCTGTTGTTTATGTCTATCGGCATTTGCCAGTGTAGAATTCTGGCTAATTTCAGGTTTTGTAGACCGAATTATTTACAATAGGTGTCTGTGACTTGATGACGATAATTTTCAACAATAAACAAACAGCACATAGTCCACTTGTAAAACGTATATACAAATGTTTCTTACACTGTTGATTTTCACAGTTGTATCAAGATCTTTAAAAAATCGTCTCACTTTCGTCAAATTCCACACAGGCTGGTTTAGTTACTTTAGAACACAAGTACATAGTGTCTATCCTTTTCTCTTGCTGGCAAAAAACATTCGTATATCACTGCAATCAGTTTCACGTATGCACTCATTCTGTTCAGTAAGAAGTGCCGACGATCTAGCTTTAATATCATATACTGTGTAGTCTCGCGAGCCACATTCTTACTGGTATAGTAAGTAATTTTTATATGGGTTTAAGATTAGCACAATTTTCAGAACCTTCCTTGTACGAAAGTAAAACCTACAACAATGTTTAAATATCAAACTCACAATTACTTTATAGTTCTATTTCCGTGACACAATGAAGCTTGCTTGTGCTCAAAACCAGGTGTAGCTGTTGCATATACACAACTGTTTAAGTTTAATGCGAGCGTTATGAATTGGATAGTTTATACAGCGTGGGTATCATATTTGGTTACTTTTAGAAGCGACAGTTTATGGCAAGTTTGTTTATGTAATTCTTTACGAAGCATACCTTGTGTAGCGTATACTTTCAGTTGCTATTAGTTAGCGATTTTTATATTGTTGGGTCATGTTACTAGAACTTTCTGAATTTTTCTCATTGTTTTAATTGAGTACTATTGCATCAGAATATCGAGTATTGCGTGGAATATTCTAGACTTCTGTCAGGGTATAAATATGCGTCGAAAAATTATTACTGAGATCTAGACTGGGTGATTGTAAGTTTAGCGATAAAGAGCATATAGTGGCGATTTTTAAAGTGAAATTATCACAGACTATATTACGATAACAGAGTAGAGAAGAAGAATCCGTCTTGTCAATTGTGTTCTAATGTAATTGAACTAGCCTACGTGAAAAAGACAATTAGTTAAAGCTCTGTATACAAGTGTGATAACCAACGGTGTAACAATCATTTGTATATACGTTTCACTTGTTTTAATATATTATTTTAAAACAAGTGGACTGTTTTGCTGTTTGATTATTGTTGAAATTTATCGTTAACAAGTCACAGACACCTACTGTAAATAATCTGACCCTCAAAACCTGACACTAGCAATACAGCTTCGGCTTCGGGGATTACAATTACAAAATATTTACTTAGCTTATCTCTATAACATATAATAGTTTCAAGTATACTTTATCATTGAAGCCTGCGTGTTTGTACTCGAGTAATTGGAAGTCTCAGACGACAATTAGTTTTTGACTCCTTCGTATATATATATCACAATTAGTATCGTCTTTATTGGTAAACTTTTATTTTGTATCTTCAGTTAATTAATGGACATGCTTCAACTATAATGATTTTCAGTTTCTTACTATATATAATATAAGTCTGATATATTCTGATAAGTCTCATATTCAACAGTGAGAATAGTAGGACTAGGGGACACAAATATACATTTTGGCAAGGTAGGAGTCATCTTCAGCAAAGACAATTTCATTTTTCTAATAGAGTAGTTGGCCTTTGGAATGGGTTGTCTTCGGGTGTTGTAGAGACAGTAAATTTAAGTGAGTTTAAGAAAAAGTTTAATAAGTATATAAATTATAAGGGCTGGCTTTGAGATTTTTTAAAATTATTTTAATTTAGTTTAGAGGATGGAACAGCTGAGATTGACCAATAGGTCCCATGTTGTCCCAAAACATTATGTTATATGTTATGCTATAGCTGTATAGTTAGTATTATAACTGTACTATAATATTATAACCATAATGAAACAATAATAATCTATACATTGTTAGACCCACTTTACGACAGACTCGAGAAATAGAACATTATATTTACAAGCAGTTTTATAAGTTAACGAATATTCTAATCAAACAGTTCTGTATATAAGCCCTGATGAAGCCGCAAAGGCGAAACGTTGGTTAAACGTAAAAAAATATGTTATTTATATCTGGAGTATAAAGGTTTTTTGGTTTTTTTTCTAAACCTTCTATCAAAAGTAGATTTTCTTTACGTACGCCAGGAATTATCTTTTATCCCGCCTGGGGGCGTAGTAGGCTATGTGCGGCTCAGGATATTGTTGTACTTGATAAAAGTATTTGTAGTATTATACTTATTCCGTTTAGTGAATAAGGATCTTTGTTTGTGAATAGATATTTTAATTTAATCTTTCAAGATGACAATGCGAACATTTGGAGAGAAACCAACAGCATTTCAACTTGAGGAAGGAGGAGACTATTACTATATTGGATCAGAAGTAAACTGTTATTCTGTATTATTATTATTAACCAAATAACTTATTTTTAAGCTTATAAAATCAATATGGGCCTACAGTAACACAGCTGTACTACTAGTACTAAGCTGCAGTTGACAATTTCACTTGTAATTTCGTTGACATGCCTTCTTATCAGGTTAACAAATTACGTCTATTAATAATATGTTTTAATTGAATGCAATATGAATCTTTCACTACCATTACTTATAACAATTGTAGAAAAGAATGTAGATAATTCGTAATTGAATGTGTAATAATTAATATCGTAGTTTATTGGGTAATTATGTAGTAAACGTCCACTATTTAAGGGTATAATAAATATCAAAATATTTATATTTTAATATTATTTTAAAGTTTATTACTGACAGGGTGAAACAGCATTTCATACGTTTTTGTACAGAAACAGTAAAGTTAACAAATAGTAAATTTTATTCGTTTCATTAGATTAAGTTTTGTAAATCTCTTTGTCAAATAAAGATAAATCCAATTTATTGGATCAAAAACAGGATTGTCAATTATTGGGAGATGGGGACAATGCTTTCCCCAAGAAAATTTAAATGTGACTGTAAAGTACCAGTTTTATACTGTGAGTGCATGTGCTATAAAGCTGCAAAGCAATTCAATGTCAAGAAAGAAAAATATTTAGATCTCCATAACAATTTGTCCCCCTCCTCCCCCAGAAAACAATTAAATCTGAAATGGTATTGTTGATCAGAAATAAGTTATTTTTATATTGTAGCTCACTCTTGTACATGGGATTGAATATAAACCATTGTTATATTACATGTATACATTACAGTTGACTCTTCTTTTGCATCAGAAGTAAGCTATTGATTTAAATCACACTTACACTTAGTAGAGTTGGTAAGCTATATATATAGTTGGCAAATTATTTGTAATTATACTAAGTGCAAGGTAATGCATTTGGATTATTCTAATTAGGGTCACAAAATTTATATAGCTAGGAACCAATTTATTAACATAGTGGTAGATAAGTCACACAAATCATCGAGGCAGTGCTCTATAATTAGCAGTACAACTAATAACATTTGAGAATGCATTTATAATTTATTAATTACAAATCAAAAGAGGTAATTGTCTGTATACTAATCACAAGTTAGGTCCCATTAAGAATAATCTATGAAGTGTTGGTCTTATTATTTAAGAAAGGTTATTGACTTTTTGGAAAAGAAGGGTTATGGCTGATCTTATTGAAGTTTGCTGATTATTTGAGGGATAGACAGAATATAGGCTAGCTTCTTTGTGTTGAATTATGAAGTAAAGAAGACAAATGTTTAAGCTTTGTAAAAAATATGGAAGGCTCCAATCAAAACAATTTTATTTTTTCTAATGGGTTGATTAACTTATGGAATGTTTCCATCCCCTATAGTGGAGGTCAGCATCTTACAAAAATTTAGAGAGAATTGATGGTTTCCTTAAAACTTGAAGGTTGGGCATAAATTTTACTTAGGATGGATGTTTATTTAAAGACAGCTTTGAAAAATCAAATGGTCTTTGTTGTCTATATGCTATTATGGTTGATTCTACTATGTATTATCAAAGTTAACTTTTGTTATGCTAACTTGCACTGTATACTGTGATTGCTTCCAGAATCTCATATTTTGACTTTGTTAGTCATTTTTATCTATACCAGTATAGATAGTATTTATATTGTTGTTTTAGTTATCCCAGAAGAATGAAGACTATAAAGTAGCATACATATTAACTTGAAACACTTAAGTCAATTTTTTGATCAAATTAAACTTTAACATGGTCAAATGGAATATATCATGATAATGAAAGTTTTACCTTTTAAGGTAGACTTTTAAAATGTTTATGACAAAACACAAAGTATAAAGAAGCATGTTATAATAATTAATAACATGTTTACAAAAAAAATGTAAGTAACCATGACTGAGGTTAAAAATTTATAAAGTGTATAAATGATGAAGACCTATACAGTTAGCAGAATGCATGGTATGGATTTTAAATCTTGTCATTTTATACAAAGAATAGTTGCATGAAGTGTATTAGAAAAAAAAGAGTGAAGTGCAAGATATCTTCATATTTTCATACATTGATTTTCTAAAATTTCATATTTCATACTATAACATTTAACATAATTAGGTGGGAAATTACCTTCGAATGTTTCGAGGTTCTCTTTATAAAAAGTACCCATCCTTGTGGAGACGTTTGGTGACAGTAGATGAAAGGAAAAAAATTGCTTCATTAGGTAAGTTAATTAAGTTGATTTTGTTATTAATTTCTACTTGATTAATTGTATTATTTGTCTTATAGCATAGATCCAGTTAAAATACCATGATAGTATGGAAAGGAATTCTATTTAACTGTCATGTAAATAATAAGAAATTGTTAAGATTTGTAAGTGTGCCTAGAAAAATGACATGAGTATTTATTAAACAAATAATTTTTATTAGTTTTTTTTAACCAATATATACAAATAATGTATTTTAAATTGATGGTGTCTAAAGTGTAGTTTTAAACGTAATAGTAACAAAACATATAAATGCAGGTTTGGGACCTCACAGCCTTGCTACGAATATTACCTTATTGCGAGCTGTAGAAGTTGATGAAATATTTGAGGGAAATGATGATAGATATAAAGCTGTTTCAATAAGTACTGAACCTCCTCTACCTAGGTGAGTAATTTTTTCTTTAATCTAAACTGTGATAATACAATTTTGTTACATTTAATTGTGATTTTGGGGCACAGAAAATTAGCTGATCAGCTTGGACTTCTGTCAATAACATTTTTGTCCAACAAATTGTAAAATGAGATGACACTTTTCAGTTTGGAAATTACACATTTGTAGGGATGCACAGGTACCCGGTCAGTTATTTGGCCCCAGCTGGGTATTGGGCTACCCAATAATACTCGGCTCCGGCCGAGTGTTGAAGTTAGGCATCTGAGCCCTAATCTTTGTGGCAACTAATGCGGCACTGAAAGCTACAGTCAATAATTGATTTAGTTAAAAAAAAAATGGGTTCTGACCCACAAAAACTGACCACCCACTGAAAGTCAGGGATTCAGAGAACAATAGGGGTTAATAACAGGCATGGCTTGAGAAGTGGATTTCTGGGGAAGGTGGGGGTTTTGAGAATAATGGTGGTTACAGTTTGAGAATTTGGGGCTAGGCATTGAAAGTTGAAACTAAAACTTGAATGTTCTGTTGGTGATTATTCGGTTAAATGTAATAAATGTCAATTTGTTTTTGTTTATAATTTTTGTGTATGTTGTTTTATTTGTTTGTTGTTGTTTTGGAGGAGGGCAAGGAAAGAACCAGGTCTCAGTCAACACCCTGCCCCAGGCTAAGCTTAGTGACTGGGTACCTTGACCCAGTATTTGGCCAAATTTTACTACCCGTGCATCCCTTCACATTTGTAATGTCTGTACAGTATAGTTGGGACTGACCTATATAAAGTTCATCAGTTTATACATTTGTGCATAATGCAAGTAATAACAGATTTTTAAAAATTATTTTAAAGGTATATGTGACATGACACAAACTACTATGAATTAGCTTTAATGTGTGTCACGTTTATATCTTTATAGTTAATGTTGACTTGGAAATATTTTTTTTTATGTTGACTACATATAGAGAGTGCTTAACTTGATTAGATCAAACTTAGGAAAATAATAATTGTATCTGTGATTTTAACATATAAAAAGAGTGTTTGTGGGAAATATATCTTAAAAGATTTTATCTAATCATGGAATTAAAAATTATATTTTTAGAGTCTTGAAATATTATATAAATATATTTATAAGAAAAGCATATGTTAGTTATCAATTTTATGTGTCACAGGGAGACAAAGTCTAAGAGAACAACATGGATGCCAGCATTACCGAATAGCTCTCATCATCTTGATGCTGTACCCTGCTCTACTCCTATCAACAGGAACAGAAGTGGTCATAAGAAAGTCCGTACATTTCCTCATGTGTAAGTTAAGAAAAGGTTTCTTTGGGCTTGCTTTTTATTAGTTTGTTGGCTAATAAGTTCTAAATCTGCACCAAGTTTTCTTTATTGTTAAGTAAATGGATCCAGGTTTTTCAAAAATACAGGTATAAGCGTATTTGAATGTATGTCAAAATTGGAAAAATACTTTTAGAATTGAAAACATTTGTGTGTAGCTGAAAAAAAAGTGATCATGCTTAAAAGAAATGAGAGAGAGATAGAATTATGCAAAAAACAAATTAGTAATTTTCTTTCAAAAGTAATGTGAATGAAATTAAGCATAGGATAATGCCACAAAAAAGTTAATTATAGAATGTTTTATAGTATACTGACTTTATTTGCTGTAGATTTGTAGGCTTAAAATTTTAATTCCTTTCCTACTTTCAATAAACTATTTAGAAAAGTATTTGTCATAAGCAGGTAAAATCCAATTATATGTAATTTTTCCATACTTAATATAGATCTCAAAACAAGTTGTTGTTTTTTCAATACCTAAAGCATTACTATATTTGTAAAATATTTTGTTTTAGTAAACTGAGATTTAATAATATTTATGAAAGAAAACTTATTACTTTTATTCCTCCTTTGTTGTAATGTAACTAACCATTTAACATTAGGCTTTCTTTTAGCTATGCATCCTTTGTTGTAATGTAATTAACCATTTAACATTTGGCTTTCTTTTAGTTATGTCTCCTTTGTTGTAATGTAACAAATCATTTAACATTTGGCTTTCTTTTAGTTATGCCACTTTTGCTTTTTTAATTGTTTTAATGCTTTTTGACGTTCACTTATGATCTCAAGTATCCTAATAATACTTTAGTTAACCTGCTTTTTACAGTTTATTGATATCAGAATAGAGAGGCTCTCTTGAATACTTTTTAAAAGTTGCTTTTCTTTTCTATCAAGCAAATAGAATCATTCTGTTTAGCTGTAGTACTTCTTTTTCAATTTAATAATGTGAATTATTTATGCAGGACAACTTTTTGTTTTCACTTTTATTGAAGTTTTCATATAACTATGTTAATTTAATTAATTACAGTATAAGATAGCTTGGTTTTGAATAAAAAATTTGTATTGTTATCTTAGTGTTTCATTTGTAAGTATCAACATCAGCATGACTAAAGGAATTAATTTGGTATAAATGCAGTTATCATACTTAAAGTGTCACTGAGAAATGACAGTAAAGTTTGCTGTGGATCTGTCATTTTGATTCGCTTTACTTGTAAAATTTATAAACTCTTTTATTTGATAAATGACTCCTCAAACCATCATGTCTATTTCTGTTCAATACTTTGGTTCAATACTATTTTTTATAGTTAAAGCTAACAAGCTCATTAGTCAACCTTAGATCCAACTCATTGTGTCAACTATAGGCTCAAATATTGACATGTATCAAGGATCTTTTGTAAATATATACTAAAAAGTAGTCACGTTTTAAGTTTTTAAAGTAAAAAGTTAATCCCGTACTTCCAGTTGTTCAATCTTACAGTAGCAGTTTAAAATTCTGAACATAATTGTTTGTTTTAAAGTAACTTAATTTTGTAGTTTATTTATATATATCCTGTGAAAATAGATTTAATAACTTATAGATTGTTAATTTCACAATAATTTATGTCATGCTTCATGTATACTTGATGTTGTGATGTTACAGCATAATATGGTTTCACTGAAAAATATGAAAACATGAAAAAAAATTGACTACTGCTCGATATAAAGCTGGTAATAAACACAAATAAATCTTAACACAATATTATAAGACAAATGGTTATTGTCATCTAAATTGAATCTAAATCCTTTAAAAAATAAAAACCCTTGGAGTCAACCCTTATCATTCAAATACTTATCAAGTATTCTTTTAAACTCCCTTAACTCTTTCAGCACAGGCTCAGTCCCTGGGACCAACCTCATAACTATTTTGTGCTTGTTGCAGTTTTCATGCTATAACTTTTAAATTAGTAAGTGTATGTTAATGAAATTTGGCACATTATCAGTAAACATTACAATGCTTTCATATGCAAGATATAATTTTTTTTTTATTAAGTCTTAAGGTTTGTAAAGCAATATTTTTTCATGCCTTTTTTCTTTTCCCGTGTTGCCTATCCAACATGCAAAGTAATTTTCATTTTAAGATTAAAAATACTTTTATGCATGAGAAAATTTTCAAATTTCACATGCAAAATATTTATAATGTCCAGATAGTTATCAAATGTTTCTTAAGAAAAAACTTTATATTTTAGCTGTTATTTTCAGTAACGAATCTCTGTACGGGTTCGGTCAATTTTACCGATCTCGTAACAACCATAAAAAAATTAGGAAATAAACATAAATTATGCCTCTTTCATTCTAGAATGGCAAAAAATTATAACATGAAAACATAAATGTTTAGACTGAATAGCTTAAATCTCATAACATTATATATTTATATATATTTATTATTTTTATTATATTGACCTTTCCGCCGTGCCTGGCTAACAATACAAAAGTTACAATGATGCGGCACACGTGCACTCATGTTATCGTATCCAATAATATAAAACTGATCTTTGGCCTTTACAAACTGACCTGTCTTGACTGTGTTTTAGTAAACTAGTATTTTGTAAAATACAGTCACATTGGTTCAAAAGAAAGAGATGGTGTCCAAACATGTTAAAATGGCTGAGAAAGCCACTAGGGGGACATTATAAGTGTATATAAGGGAGCATTTCCAAAAATGGAAAGAGGTGGTCAGGGTGTTACTGTGTTTATTACGTGAGCAATATCTTAGTAAATAGAAAAGATAGTAGGTTCATATTTTGTATTCTACCTTGTCAATATTGGTAATTTGAGTTCCATGTTTAACTGTGTTTTTTTAATATGTACTTTTCAATTAAGAAACTGGGTAATATATAATACTAAAATTTGAATTATAATCTACAGTTTGATACCAAAGTTATTAACATAAATGTATGAAATAGTAGTTCAATAAAATTTTGAATGGGAGTCAACAAACATGGTGACATGGCCTTTCACCCGTGACCTGTCTGGAAAGGGTTAACTGCATTCACCTCATCTGAAGGCAACCCATTTCAGAGGCCAACCACCCTGTTGGAAAAATAAAGCTGTCTTAGCTGAAGGTGACTTCTCCCTGCCAATTTATATTTGTGTCCCACAGTCTTACCAGTTTCACCATTAAATATGAAAAAAATAATTTTACTTCAACACTATCAATTCACTTAACAATCTTAAATACCTCACTTATATCCTTTCTAACTTTTTCAAAATAAAAACAAGTTCAGAGATGTTAGCCTATCCTCATATAATAGCATTTCCATCCCATATATCATCCTAGAAGCCCAAGACTGAACACAATACTCTAACAGTGGCCTAACAAATGACATATACAGCCTAAAATCCTATTTGTTCTGCCATTAGCAACAGCACATTGCTTGGATGGCTTAAGAGATTAATCAACCCAAACATCAAGATCTTTTTCTCCCACAATACTGTTAAGGCTATTTCCATCAAAATTATGCTTATAATTCAAATTGTTATATTCCACGTGCATTTATTATAAATAAAAGCCATCTGCTATTTATTTAACAAATAATTCAAATCCTTTTTAGAGCAGTAGCATCCTCCTCATAGCCAGCAACACCCAAAACTTTAATGTCATCAGTAAATTTAAATAATCTATTGACCATTCATTCATTTATGTTATTGATATAAATCAAAAAGAACAAAAGTCCTTAGGTACTCACTCCACTCATGATATTAATCCAATTTGACTGAATTCCATTTATAACAACTCTGTTTTCTTCCATTTAGCCAGTTTTCTATCCAATGAACCAACTCACACACACACACACCTACAGAGATAACTTTTTTAACAAGTCTTTCCTGTGACAAGGTGCCACATGAAATGTTTTTTAAAAAGTTATTTCTGTAGGTGTGGGGGATAGGTTGGCTCATTCGAAAGAAACACTACATCTGCATCTGTACCCTCATGTACATGAGCAGTAACCTTTCCAGAGAATGTCAAAAAATTAGTAAGGCACGATTTTCTTCTTGTAAAACCATGTTGACTATCCAACAAAATTTTAAACTTTATTAAATGACTTTGCAAAGCATCCTTTATCAGACTTTTGAAAACTTTTCTCACCACTATGTAAGACAAATATTACTGTGGTCATTTTTATCACCTCTCTTGAAAAGAGGAGTAACATTAGCCAACTTCCATTCTTCTGGCACCTATCCAGTACTACTCAAAGATTTAGAGAAAATAATATCCAATCCTTAACCTTTTTCACAATCCTTGGGTAAATATTATTTGATCATCTGGTTCAATCTTGTTTCCATCTGTCAACTGTTCAGATTGAAAAATATTGCTTAAACCTTCCTTAGTAAAAATTGAAGAAGAAGTAGAATGTACTAACCCAGCCATCCAATAATCATCAGATACTAGCCTTCTGGTGTCATTCTTCAGAGGTCCTACACCCATTCCTGGTTAGGGTGCTTGACTCGCAATCTGAGGGTCACGGGTTCAAATCCCCATCACACCAAACATGCTTGCCCTTTCAGTCATGAGGGCATTATAATGTGACGGTCAATCCCACTATTCGTTGGT